TAATTAATAAGTAGTTTTTTGTAGACATCTTGGACATTTTTTCAAATTATAATTACTTAAAATTTTATTAATATTATTTATTTTAATTTTTCTAAAAATGAATCCAGCATCTAAAAAAATATATAATTATATATTTATTAAATTAATTCATTAATTATTTAAGCCTTGGATATAGGCTTGGACAGTTTTGAACAATCTTAGATATTGGACAAAAACATAGTATTGGACACGTCCAATAACAATACTGGTAGCAACTTTCATCGATCGTGTTAGCTTATTTTCAGGTCAAAAACATTATTGAGTATTTGACCAAAAGAGGGGTACTTATTTTTAGGTGACTTATTTTTAGCAATATATAGTACTTTAATTAATCTTAGGATTTGTGAATGATCTTAAAACTTTAATCTTAATCTTTTATATATTTTCTCATGATATTAAAATTTCTAACAGATACTAGTAATACAAGCTTTCTGGTAGTAATTTCTCTAGAATAAGGTAAAATAGAAGGCCTTTGTAAATCTAAACTATTAAAATTTGAAGTTTTGGGATCTTAGAGATACATCACTATTTAGCAATCTATATATTTATAAACAAATTATATAAAACCTATGGCCAATAAAATTTTTTAAACAAATTACATAAAAACTGAACTGGACTGGAACTGGAACTAGTTTCAATAAAACAGTCCAGTTTTAAAACTGGACTTAAACTGTACCCAACACTGGATAGAATGGTTCTATATACTATTTAGACATCTGAGACCCATATGATAATTGATAACTTAAATTGTTTAAAATGTATTGTAATAAAAATTACAATTCAATTTGAGCAATTGATTAAAATAAACAAAAAAACAGTGGATATTTAATTATAGAACAGTAGAGATACGATCATTCAAAAATTTAATTCTAAAAACTGGTTTAAACTGAAGTTTTATGTATAAATAATTTGAACTGATCACATCTCTATAGAACAGACTTCATTCAAAAAAAAAACAAAAATGTATTCTATTTTTTTTTTTACTTTTGAACTTCATTTTTTCTATGATTAAACGTTAAAATTCAATGACCATCCTTTTCTGCATTATAAATGAATAATGCAATAACAATTGATTTACACAGTTATTATCTTAACAAATAACTCTAGTCGTTAAATTTTATTTTTTGCGATATCACATTGTATTATATAAATATGATTTTATTTCAAAATTTTAAAACTATAATTATGTTAAAAGTCAAAAACAGATCTCGTTCTAGTTCACCATCAGAATTAGAACGTGAGTCCAGTCGAGTACCTATTTCTCAGCAAAAAATTGATTTTAATAATGAACCTCGTGAAATAGTAATTTCAGTAAATAATCTTATTAGTGAGTTTGGTGATGTTCGAACTACAAAATGGTTAGATCTTTTATAGAATTCTTCAGTCAACACTAGGGCTAAAGCTATCTCATACCCACAAAATTGGTTTATACTCTTTCATAAAGATATAATAGCCAAATATAATCCACAAAAAAATAGTAATAACAGTAAAAAAAAGTTGGTAAAAATGTTTCAAAATCATCTAAAATCGCGAAGAAAAGATAGGCGCAATTAAAAATTCTAATCAGCATGAATACAAATTCTGAAAAAAATTAACAGAAATAGCAAATTTGAAGTACAAATTATTATATCCGAATTATAAATATATTCTAATTAGGAATAAAAACAAAAAATGTAGATCAAACAATACTTACAAACAACATCCTCCATTGGTGGTTAATGATATTATCAAGACCACAGAAATTGAATCCAACAAAAAAATTGATCTATTACAAATACAAGAAACAAACAATACCCAAGCATTATCAGTCAATAACAATTCAACAACACCTATCAGATCCTTTTCAGATAGTTATCTTACACACAGTTTTTTACCTCATTACTTATTTCATGAATATAGACCAAATTTTATAGCTTCAAGTATAATATCTGTTCACAATCTTTACTTTAACTACCTTCAACATTATCAACCTCAAGGTTACTTTATATTCAATGATTTAATTGACCCTGTATTAATTAATGAAAATAGCACAGTTGATTCTAGTTTTAGTAATTTTAGAAACTAATTTTTAAATAAAGATTTTTTTAAATATATCAAATAATTAGAGGGATTGTTAAGGTGGTTGGCAAGCTGGCTAGCAATCTGGCGAGCTTGTCAAGACAATAGTGGCGAGAGTCTAAAAAAAGCTTGCCTTGCCAGCTTGCTAACCATCTAGATAGAAGTGACGCAACTCCTGCACTTACTTTTTTGATACTCCTAAATGTACCCCAAAAATTTTATTACTTTTTTGAGACACGGTGATTTTAAAAAAGTCACGTGACTGCTGCGATTAAATCAACCAATAGAATTGCAGTAAGATTCTAATAAAAGGCTTAAAGTTTTTTTTAATCAGAACTAATTTTTTATTATGTCATTATTATTTGAATTTCTAATAAGAGTTGCAGAGATGAAAATTACTATTCCAATAGTAGTAAATACATCAAAATTGGCTTAGTGTATCACGAAATATGAGTAAAAAAATTTTCATGAATTTTTAAAGTTTTTTTAAAATTTGCGAAAATTTTTTTACTCATATCTCGTGATATACTAAGCCAATTTTGATGTGTTTACTACTATTAGAATAGTAATTTTCATCTCTGCAACTCTTATTAGAAATTCAAATAATAATGACATAATAAAAAAATTAGTTCCTATTAAAAAAACTTTAAGAATCTTAATGCAATTCCATTGATCGATTTTAATCGTGATGGTCACATGACTTTTTAAAATCGCCGTGTCTCAAAAAAGTAATAAAATTTTTGGGGTACATTTAGGAGTATCAAAAAAGTAAGTGCAAGAGTATCAAAAATGTAAGATTTGCAGAAGTGACCATATCATTTTACTGAATACTATGGTTCGCAATAGGAATCACATTTTATTCTAATACAAACCATATCAACTTTACCTATTTTATATTATTAGAACAACTTTTCTTTTATTCTTATAAATCAAAAAATACAAATACCACGAGAACAAGAATTGGAATTCGATTAGTCAATCGACTAAAACTATTAGAAAATATTAATGTTTTAAAGTTATTTAAATTTATATCTTTATGAAATAAAAAATTATACTATTATCATATTTCTAATTTAATTTTACTATTCATTTTTTAACATCAATTACATCAATTAGATATCATATTCATCATCTGTTATTTCTTATAATTAAAAAAGATTATTAGTTTCAAGATTGTTAAAAAAAAAAAATAAAAAGTCGCTTTTTTTTTTTTACCAATATAATCAGTTTCATCATCATCATCAATAAAAGAATCTGAGGTGTCATAATTATTGTCTAACAAATAGTCTTCTTCTTCTGTATCATCAGTTTCTTCAATTTCTATGTCTGTATCATCTTCAATTTCTATTATGCGTCTTTGTCCACAGTTTGCACAATTGTTACTCACGACTAATTCATGAAGATAATTAAATTTAATCCTCTTTTATTAACTAACAGCTTAATTAATTCTTATCTTCATTCGAGTTTTTCTTTTTTGTTTCTGTAAAAGATTTATCAAAAAAGGTTCCCCACAGATTAGATATAGCTTTGAACTCTTTTTTTTTTTTCAAAGCGTATTTTTTCATCTGATGATTTTATTTTAACAAAATGGTCTATTATGTCCTTAATAATAAAAGATAAAACTGGTGCTACTATAATTTTTTCATGACATGTCAGACATTTTTTTTGTTTTTTGAACTGTAAATAATAAGTTAATATATTACAAATTTATGGTTGCTTAATCGCAGTCATACTCCTCTAAAATCACAAATTCTATATGATCACATTAAATTTAATGATTATAGAGTAAGACGACTGTATAAAATTTAAATAGTTAGAGAAATGCTTCATACCCAATTATAAAGGCAATAATAACAAAAAGTATGACCACATGAAATAGTGCAAGGATTTGACATATATTCAAGGCATATAGTGCACTTTACTTCAAACCTATTTATATTGGCTTCCAAATCTTCTATAATCTGTTCCCTAAAATTTAACTCTTGATTTAGTATTTCTATATTTTTTTAAGGTACTTAATCTCTTCAGCGTAATTCATAATAGTCATATGATTTATTTGATTCTGATTTTAAACGTATTGCAGCAAAAGTTTAGAAGGTAATTTATTCTCTTTAAAACAATTCGAGAAAATAATAAAGAAGGACAAATCAAAATT